ATAGTTCATTATTTATTTCTTCAGGTTTTTTTTTTTTTTTTGCACTAGAAATGGAACTCAGGACCTTGCACTCCCCAGGCAGGTGCTCTTACTGCTGAGCTATCTCCTGGGCCCTCTTCTGAGACAGGCTCTTGCTATGTAGTTCAGGCTGGCCTCCGTGCTCCTGCTTCAGAAATCCTCTTACAGCAGCCTCTGAGCACTGGGGTTACAGGCATCCACCACCCGGCCTGGCTCCTTCGTTGTTTTGCCTTGTAGTTTATTTATTTATTTATTTTTTCGGGTACCGGGAATCGAAATCACTACCTTGCCAGGCAGGTGCTGTGCTGCTGAGCTAAATCCCCAGCCCCTGCCTTGTAGTTTAGACTGGCCTAGAAATCACGGCAGTCCTCCTGCCTCAGTCTCCTAGTGCTTACAGCTGTGCACTAAATTTAGTTTTTGTTGTTTGAGACAAGGTCTCCCTATGTAGTTCAGGATGGCCTGGACTCACTATAATGCCCAGGCTGGCCTCGAATTTATGGCAATTCTGCCTCAGCCTCTCGAGTGCTGGGATTACAGGCATGGGTCACCATGCCCGTTGGTCCAAATTTTATTTATTTATTTACTTGTTTATTTATTTATTTTTGGCACCAGGAATTGAACTTAGGGCATTGTGCTTGCCTGGCAGGCATGACACTGCTGATGCTACAACCTTGACCAGTTTTTATTTTTACATTTTTTTTTGAGAAGGGGTCTTGCTACATAGTTCAAACTGGTTACAGGCCTTGAACTCATTGTGTAGCCCAGGTTGGCCTCGAGCTGACTGACATCCTTGCCTCAGACTCTGAGTGCTGGGACCGGCATAGGCCCAGTATTTCTTTCTTTCTTTTTTTTTTTTTTTCTCTTTTTGAGACAGGGTCTCCCTATTCAGTTCAGGCTGGCCTTGAGCTCACTTTGTAGCCCAGGCTGGCCTCGAAGTTGCAACGATCCTCCTGTCTCAGCCTCCTGAGTGCTGGGATTACAGGCGTGCGCCACCATGCCCGGACCGGGGCCCAGTTTTTAAAGTCGATTTAAGAAGCATTCTGGCGGTCTTGTTCTTCATTTGGGAATCATCATTCTGATACAAGCTGAGGCTCAGAGGGCGAGTCCTTAGATTCGCGGTGCGGCGGCCTACTATAGCGTGTGGCGCGCCCTGCTGCTGGGCCGCTGGGCTCGCTCCGCCCTGCTCTCGGGGCCGCGCGGCTGCACCCTCCCGCCCTGGCCTCTGCGCCCGGCCACTAAGCGCCATCTTTGAGGCTGGCACCTCGTCCTTACTTCCGCACTTCTTTTCCGTTCCCCAGAAATAGATGCGCCAGTCCCATATATATATCCTGTCTGGGAATAGAGTACTCCAAACCAGTCTCTTTTGTCGTGCCCGCTGAAAGGAATCATCCCTCCCTCCCCGGCCTTGGGACCGGCTCTGTAACCAGTTCAAAAATGGTGCTACCGGCTTCACCTTCCATGTCTTCCGCTCCGCAGGGGGCGGGGAGAGGCGGGCTGGTCTCAGTGCGCCGGCGCGAGAGGGCGGGGTCGTAGCCATGGCAACGCTCTCGCAGCCTTTGCTGTTCGGGCAGGCGGGAAGCGGGAGTGCAGGGGCGCTGGCGACGGACGGGGCAGCGAGTGCGGAGGGGCCCTGGCGGCCCGGGCCGCTGCAGGACGAGACCCTGGGCGTGGCGTCCGTGCCCTCGCAATGGAGGGGCATCCAGGGCGTCCGCGGGGAGACGGTGAGGGCGCGGGGACGCGCCGGGCGACGCGAGCGGGCGGCGGGCGAGGCCCCGGGGGCCGCGTTTCCGTCCGCAGAAGTGATCGGGGGCTGCGCGCGGCCCGGACGCCCGCGTCCTTTGAGTTACAACAAAAAGTCAAAACTTTTGCGAAGGTTTTGTTTTTAAGAGAAAAGGAGCACGCTGCATGTTCAGTCGGGGTAATCGGGGTGCTGGCGGAACGAGGCGCCCTGAGGAGCCCGGGCCGGGGTGGCCCCGCGCCCAAGCGCGAGGGACGCAAGGGCCGCCCGCCCCGGGGCTGCTCGAGGCGGCGGCTGGAGATGCAGCCTGGGCAGCGCGTGCGGAGAAGGCGAGCGCGCAGTGAGTTAGGGGCGAGCAGGGCCCTGGACAGAGGAGGGAGGCCTTGGCCGAGGCCGCCCTGCGGGGTGCGGTCGGTGAAAGGAAGATCTTCCAGCCAGCACTCGCCGCCAGAGTCCTAGGTCTGCGCCAAAGCGTGCCGGGGAGAACGGATCGCAAGCGCGGAGGTCCTGGGGCCCTGCGCGCCACCGCCCCTGGCTGGGCAGGGCTGCTTTTCATCTGAATCAAAATAACCTAAAGCTTGGCGTGGCGGTGCACGCCTGTAATCCCAGCACTCAGGAGGCTGAGGCAGGAGGACCGCTGCAAATTCGACGCTAGCCTGGGCTGCTTTGGGAGTTCAAGGCCGGTCTGGACTACACATCAAGATCCTGTCTCGGGCTGGGGCTATAGCTCAGTGGCACAAGCGCCTGCCTGGCAAGCTCAAGGTCCTGAGTTCGATCTCCAGTACCGCAAACAAACAGACAAACAAAAAAAGATCCTCTCTCAATCCCTACTGTCACCCCCTACCCCCAAAATGAACCGTGTTACATGGCGCTGCCTGTTTCCAGAAGAGAAAATTGCCAGGCCTGGTGGTACATGTGTGTAATCCCAGTACTGTACTTGAGAGGCTGAGGCAGAAAGTTTGCTTCGAGTTCCAGGCCAGCCTGGGATATGTAGTAAGTTCAAGCCCAGCCTGAACTGCATAACAAGACCCTGCCTCAAAAAAACAAAAAGCAGGGCCAGGGATATAGCTCAGCGGCACAAGCACCTGCCCGGTAAGCACAAGGTCCTGAGTTTGAGTTCTGGTACAAAAAAAAAAAGCAACAACAGAGAGAGAGAGAGAGACTGAGAGACACTCAGGTTGTTGAACCTGCAGGTAGCCTAGGTCCCCACCAATGCCACAGGCCAGTCTGACCTGGCTCCCAGGTACCCTCCCCCCACGGGGCTGTGCTGCCTGGGAATGGTGCCAGTCAGAAAGGCCATGGTCATTTCAGTTCAGGCTCTGTCCTTATTGCAGGTATGACTCATGCACTGACCTTTTAAAAATAACTCAAAATAGCTCTTGCTGAAGATTCCAGGTTGGGAGTCATTGATTCAGTCTAACACTTTTTATTTATTTTTTGAGTTTTTGAGACAAGGTCTTACCATGTAGCCCAGGCTGGCCTGGAACTCACGTTGCTCCTTCCGTGTCAGCCTCGGACTGCTGGGATTAGAGCTATTTGCCACCATGACCACTGCTGACACTTTTTTTGGGGACAGAGAATGAGATTGAGGCCTGTTACTTTCCTTGTAGATTAAGTATTGACCTGTAGGCTTAAAAATATATATATCTATTTTTTCAAATAGGGCCTCACTGAGTTGCAAAATTACCTAGGGTGGGTTTGAATTTGTGATCTTCCTGCCTCAGCCTCCCAGCATGCTGGGATTACAGGCATGACTGCACCAGGCTCTTGTGTAGTTCTTCTGGCCATATGCTGATCTGTTCACAGAGGGACAAGGTCCTGGCTCAAGGGCGGGTGTGAAGGGGCGGGTGACGTTGCTTATGTGCAGGCGCTGTTCTGGTGGAGCCGCTTCCGAGGGCTGAGGTGGGAGATCCCCTAAGAAGTGCCCCTGTGCCCCCACACCTTCAGTGTGGCCCCTGCTGGGATGAGAGGTCCTGTGATCAGCCTGCAGGGAGTCTGGCTTCCCTGACCTGTGGCCTGACCTGTGGATCTGTTTCTATGTTTTTTATTTTTGCCGTGCTGAGGATGAATCTAGAACCTCAAGCTCTGCCACTGAGACACATACCACTTACCATATTCTTTAAAATTTCAAAACCTTAGAATTTTCTAGCTTTGCATCTTGGCGATAACCACTGTCTTGCCCACCAGGTGATTCCGTCTTGCATTCCAAACCCTACCCCATAAAGTCCAGGAGACAGGCAGCTGAGCACCTGGTGCCAGGCACTGATGGTACCTGGAGTGTTTCTTAACTGACCGCGGGTGTGTTTAGAGTTCTTGACAAAGTCTTGCATACTTTTGTCTGGCGTAGTACATAAGCCCCTTCCTCTTGTCTCTGAATCTGGGAATCCTGTGTTGCTGCTGTCCGAGACAGGCTTCTATCCCTTCTGTCTATTAATTTCTTAATAAATTGCAGACTTTTTTTTTTTTTT